TGTCAACATTAATTTCTTAAGCCATGATTTACTTTTTCTTTGGCATTTGGGTAACCATTTTACTCTGTTGATAACACATAGCACTGCGCAGGGACTGCAAGCCCATCTCCTCTGCATTCTCCAAGAATCGCTGCCATGAATAGTGATCCTGTCAGCATGGATGCAAACATGCCCATGGCAGGTGGGTCTCCTGGAGCATCACTTGACTTGTCTTCACAACGTGCAGTCTCTCCCACACCATGACAACCCTTGGCCCTGTGCGCATGTGTTCTACCAGACCGGCAGAGAACGGATGGTCCTTCAGGTCAATGTAGTGTTCTTTGAGAAAGTCTTCAGACGTCTGCATGAATTTCAAACCAACATGGTGGGATTGCTTCTGCTGAAAATGCTTGATGATCTTTCCCATGAGGCCCCACCGGGCTTCATTGGGTTTGATGGAGATGAAGATGCCCTCTGCGCTAGCCATGGTCTGCTCCAGCTGTAGTGGCTCCAACTCCAGCTGCTGCCCCCCCACCAACAGAAATGTGCTTGGGCCCCACAAGGTTTCCAGCACCTGCCGGCTAGCATCACTGGTCATCTCTGCTCACGGCTCCGAAAGGACAAGCTGTGACATTGCCACCAACAGGGGGACGTTGTATAGTTAATACATGTTTGTCCTATCGTTTCTGCCAAGAAAATAAGCATGAGTAATCAGTGATACAGTTGTAAGCCGATCTAAGGATTTCTGTAAGAGCTGTTTTCCAGCCCCACTTAAAAAGTGTTTTCTAATAACCAATTATGTTTTTCTATATTTCTAATGATTATCTGATAGCTGTCAACAATGTCAAAGCAACATTCTTGTTCTCAGGGACCATTTTTTGATTGTTGTGTACAATCATACAATATGTACTGTTTTGATTATAGGAGGTAGGTAGGAGGTAATGGAATGATAAAGGGGGAAAATGTTGGGTTAACTTTCATGCTTATTAGGACAAAGACCATCATTATTGTCATCATCATCATCATCATCATCATCTTTAATAACTTACATTGATCATTTCTCTATTATAGAAATTTGGCCCAATCTAAGATGGAATAAATGATTTTGAATGCCGCTGTTGCCAAAAAGTTTACAATAAACAAAACTCCCAAGTCCACCCTGGTTCATTTTAAATTTTCAAGCCACCCGAACATTACTACCAGTTTCATTTTGGATAATGCCAAACCAAACAAAATTGTTTTTATTTTTTATTGTCAGTGTTTTTACATGTTGGCTTTACGTCAGACCTGTGGTATCCTCTTCCCTGATGTCTGCCTCATAGTGCATCAGAATCTGTTTACAGTCCGAGGGGTTATTATCAGCAGGGTACTGGGGTCCCTGCTTCATTAGGCTTATACTCCCTTTGGACAGCTTTTTCTTCTGAAAACTTGACCCTGACATCACCTTTGCCCAGAGGTGTAGCTGCTGATGTTGCCTGCATTTGTGGAACTATGTGAATGCGAGGACAGTAGTTCAGGTCAGGGGGTAAAAGACAAAATGCTTGTCGATCAGCATGGCACCAACCATTTGAGAAAAATGCAGGTCGAAGTGCTGGGGTAAGTCTCTGGAGGCCCTTAATGCGGACTTGGACTTCCCAGAGGAGCAGCTCTGTGGGAAGGGGGCCTGGGAAACCCTCTGGTCGTGGCTCGGTGGCTGCTTACTAACCGGTATGGAAGGGTGTCGGTACTCCAGCCTGAATACCAGTACTCCTGGTACAGTCTTCCTATCACCTCCTGGCCGTGTGGATCGGCCTGGATCAAGCCCGTTGCAATTGCGGCTTTGTTTCTGGCATCAATACAGGCAATGACATTTTTCATGCCTAAGTATGCTAAATGCTAAACACCACTGCAGGGAGGTACGTTAAGCCAATTCTGATTCCGGGATTAGTTTTTAGGTTTCCTCCCAAATGACATAGACTGATATTGCTGTTATTTTTCTGAGCTGTGTCCAGGCTCAAGTGGGAGGGATGGACAACCAAAGAAAACATTAAAATCTTTGACCTGCCCTTCAACGATGGTCTCACTGATGTGATATTGATTCTGGGTTAACAAAAAAAATCCATTTCCTTCTACTTCTTTCAAGTCTCAGTTATCTCATTATTGAAATGAAGTCATGGTGGATCTCACCAGAATATTTTTGGGTGAACTGCAAACTTCTTTTACCAAAATGGCTCTTTCAGTTTGAAGGAGACTTACTGAAATTGGAGGCAATTCTTCTGAGGGGGTCCTATGTATGACTCGGTACTTAGACCCGGGACTGGCCTGGTCGTAGGATCACGCATCCTTCCCAGAGTCGGGCCACCAGTGTAGCCCGAGCATGGACTGAGGACAGCCCTGCTGGTTCTGCTAACTTTCTCTCATCAGCTTTGTTTCGGTTACAGGCTGAGCAGGGCTCTCCCACAGCAGCAGCTGAGACTTTCTGGCCTGCCGTATGTCTCCTGGCTGCTTGGCTTGGGAAGTGGCCACTATCGTTTCTTCATTTACTGACAACACCGGCCCTAAGCTTGTGCAGCAGGACAGGGGAAGGAGATCCCCAAGCGTAGCCAGAGAGGGCATTCATCATAGCACCCAAATCTGACCTCCAAGGCAAGAGAGGAAACATTTGAATTTGATGTGAGACGTGTTTAGAGAATAGATACGCCTTTTGTTTCCTAACACAGACTTTTACTAGTGTTGCTTAATAGTGTCATCTTAAACTTCCCATGTTGCAGAACTGTCAAGTGTATCAAAACTAGAGAGAATAGACTAATATTCTCAGCTCCTGCTGTCAATGAACTAGGGGCCAATCTTGTTTTGCATAATCTTCAACCAAGACAAATACTCAAAACACTGATATTTTCAAAAGAGCTGATTCTATTTAGTGATGATTTGGTGGAGTGAATCTATCACAATGAGAATCCAGAAAGGCGTCTCTGCCTTTGAGTGAAGCTGTCACGTGAGGGACGCAGAGAACATGTGTATCAGAGGGCCACAGAAAGAACGAATTATGGGTAAGTCAAGATTTTAATTTTCATATGACAAGGACTTCCAAACAATGTCGTTGTGTTGAGTAAGAACTTGAGGGAAAAATGAGATGGAAGAACACAGCTGACTCTGGAAAAATAAAATGTTATCCAAATTAAAAAAAATAAAAGAGAGAGAGAGGGAGAGAGGGAGAGAGAGAGAGAAAACATACACAATAGTACAAATGAAAAGAGGATGGGCTTACAAAGGCATCCATAGCCCCAGACGCATGGACGTGTTGGAGTGTAATTCCTAACAGCCAACTAGAAGACAGCAGGTAAAGATAAATTCTCTGGGAACAATGAATTTAAGTCCCACGGGCTAAAATCTGTAAACACTGAATGTTTTTGTCTCCTGGAGGCTGGCCGTAACCATAAACTCCAGGGATAAATGTTTCCCTAAGCCTATTGGTCTCTTTTCTATGTAACATCCCATTGGGTATTCAGTTTGAATATTCTATTTCTGATTTTGTTGTTGTGGGGTTGTTTTTCAATTTAGTTTGCATGATGTTGATATTTCCAGAAAAAATTATTTTGTTAATGTAGAGTATGTTGCATTCTCATGAGCACTTTTTCTCTATCTTCAGGATATGTCTTGTTTTCCCCTATGACAGCATATCCATAATTAGGGGAATGCTAAAATCTCACTAATAATGCTTTCATTCATTCAATAAATAGTCACTTCATGTCTACCCCGTGTAAGATGCTGGTGCTGGCAGAGAGGTCTATAAGCCTCTTTGTCATCTGAGGGGGTTGCAGGCAGCTCTGTGGCAGGGGTCTGCAGGTCAAGGCATGTGGGATCAGCGAGCCCTCCCGATGGCGTTGGTGCTCAGAGAAAGGAATGTCTCCCTTGGCTGTAGTCGGCGGTGTTCAGGGCTCTGAAAACACATACACACTGAGCATCTGGCAGAGATGCAGTGGACGGTAGGAATCCACCTTTGCAGGAGCACTACTGAATCCAAATTCCAGCTCTGTGCTTATTGGTCATGTAGACCTTGGACACATTATCTTCTCTTTGCTTTACTTTCCTTGTCTGGGATGCTCACTGTCATACCTACCTCTGAGGGTGCTTGTGAGTGAAAGCCTGATGAGGCCTGAGTAAGTGGTCACCAGTGTCATTGCTCTGTTGTGGCACAGTGGGACCAGTAGGCTTGTGGCCAGGGGGAGGACTCCGAACAAGCCAGGAGACGCCTGGAGTCTCTGTAGGAGTAGGGGAGGGCAGGCTACCAGGGAGCAGGGAGGTCAGGAGTGCTGTTCTCAGGGCGATGGCCACTCTACGTCCTGAAGAGTGTGGGAAACACGATCCAGACAGAGGGAGGACACTGAGCCTTGCAACCAATGAAAATGGATTGGCTCACAGAGTGGAGCGCAGGGTCCTGAAGCACCAAAGGAGGCAGGCAGGGAGCAGTGCTGTCCTGAGGGGACCTGCCATTTCCCCTTCAGGGAATGAAGAAACCTTGGCTGGCTGCATTTGAATCCCGGACTTGTAGACCTTGCAAGTCATCTGTTCTTTCTCTCACAGATGGAAAAGGTTGGAGAGGTGGAGTGCCAAACCCAAGGCCACACAGCTGGTTAGGCGAGAGGCCAGCACTTGAACCTGGTTTTCTGCCTTCTAACTTCCACCTTCTTCCTTAGACCATGGCTTTGTTTAGGTAATGAAATAATGCGGACCTACAAAGCACCTACCCCCTGCAACGTACCTAGCTGTTCCCTTTTGGACAAAGAAGGAAAGAATCCAGGCTGAGGGAGAAATTCTTCAGCGCTGTCATTGCACATAGTGACTAAGGCTGTTACTTTATATCCAACCTTCTTGTAAGGTCAGGGAATGACAACACATTATTCACTCTTTGATGTTTGCTAAGCAAATATAAAGTTTGTATCTTGGCGGGCACCCAGTTTTCAGTTTGAGAACTTTCCAGTTGCAGTTTTTGGAGTTGTGGATGAGGTTAAGAGATAGACAGATGTGATAAGAAAGGGATATATCAGACATATGCAGAACGAACCAGTTTTTAATTGCATCGAAAAATGCTTTTGCCCTAATGTGTTTTGGTTAATGCCTTCCACTGCATTTGTAAAGAGGATGTAAACATAAGCCCCGATAATGGAGCAGTCTTTAAAATAGGTGTCTATTCTTGGCTTGAACAACTTCAGAAGCATGCTTCTTTATTAAAAAAAGACTGCATGCTTTATGCTTTGAAGAAAACGACTGCAGATTTACCGAACTCATGACAATCAGAAGCCAGGCATTTGCACAGAGTCAAGACTGATTGGGAAGGTAAGTGACTTACACTAACATGGAAAAGAAATATCTCTTTTTGTAACACTATTTTCTATTTATTTCTAGCAGATCATTTGAGTTGCATTGTATCAAAAGCTTCATCTGCTTGTTGTTTTGTTAGTTTGTATCCTTTTCTTTTCTTTTTTTCTTTTCTTTTCTTTTTTCACAATGAGATTTTGAATTGATCTAAACCTGAGAATTTACTAAACATGAAGCTAAGGAGAAATTTTGCCTGGCACTACAATCTTTTAAGGGGGCAAGGAGACGGGAAGTGAGGAGAAAGGGCTTCTTTTCTTAGGTTTCTTAGGCCATGACTCAGCTGAGAGAATGAGTCAATTACTCAATTTCACTTTGCTATAGTTTTCCCATTTATGAAAGAGTTTTAATAATACCTGGGACTGTTGCCTGTGAAATAATTTTATCCCCTCAGGAAAAAAAATGAGCTATCCAAATATGATATATGATTAGGTAATACATAGCTTTTGATTTATACTAATATGCCCAGTTTAGCAATATATTTTTGGCCAGCTTTCTGAAAGAAATAATTTGATTTTCATAATTACTTGGGCTTACCAGCCCATGATGACAACAATGGCTACATGACTCAATAGAACACAAATTCTTCTCTAGGCTCTTACGGTTCTAGGCAACTAAATATGTAGATGATTCTGTTCAGCTTCATTTTTTTTTTTTTTTCGGTCTTGTCTCATCAGATACGCATTCCAAGAAATTACCTTAAGATTTGTTTCACCATTAAAGCGACATTCCCAGCTGTGCTCCAATCAACTGGATAAAAGCAGAGAACCCATCAGAAGTTGTTCCTGGTTGACTATCACCTTTCAAAGTATGTGTATGTGGGAAAAAGCCCCCATCCCTCTCCGACTATTGTTAAAAATAAGTAATGATGTATTATAAGATGCTTTTCATGCCAGAGGGTTCCAAAACGTTTTGCAACTACACATATAAACAGGAATTACTTCACCAGCCACTGAAATGTGGCCACCTCTTGGACAAAATGTGGCAGCTTTTAATAATGCATAGCAACATTCCAAAACAGTCGAGGCCTGGAAGTGAAGCGCAAACTTGCATCCAACTAAAATCACCTGGGAAATTTCCTGGGCTGAGTTGTGCTGTGTTGGGAAGGATCTCTTGTAACCACAAGAGGCCAGGACATTAGTCTTATGTCTCCCTAGGAAATTCAGCCCCATTCTGTTTAGTGCTGGCTCATGGTCACCTGCTAAATCATCCAGATCCCAGACAGCAAAGTGATGGACGTTCCTCTGAAGTGTGGCCAGTTTTCCACACTGGCTGATGGAGGAGGCTGGACAGTGTGGAGAGGTGGCCTTGGATGAGGATCCTGGTGACCCGGCCCCTGCAACAGTATTTGGAAATATTAATGGCCCAGGGTGATAGAAGAGAAAGCTTGGTCCAGTTCTTCCTGGTCACTATAATATATGTTCTCTGACTTCAGAGACATTTACCACAAACTTACAACTTTGAGTCTACCCCATGCTTCATATTGAGCTACCCAAATGTGCCACAGTATGTCAAAGAAGACCCAGAAGAGTCTCTTTGTTAGACCACTGTTTCATTAGCAAAAACGGCTTCTCCTAGGCAGAAGAACTCCACTTATATAAGTAGATGAATCTTGTCTAGATTGGTTTAATTTAGGGAAACCCACGCTCACGACCACTTGTATTCCCTCATGCCTTCTGGTTGCCCAGGTTAGTGTAATTACTTTTATGGCTAAAAGAGGGGAATGGATCCAGCATAGCAAAACCCTTGAGAGCCAGTGAGGGTAGTCTCACAGAGAATCCTAGCTGTACACATAGTCATGAAGAAGAAAGAATGATCTCAAATGGATAACCTAATGATTAGCTTATTAGTTGATACTTTGGAAAGATCAGTAAGGTTGAGAAACTTTAGCTAGACGAGTAAAAAGAGGGGGCAATCGAGTGTGGCAGAGACTTGTTTCATTCTCGGGGGCTTGATGGTACCAAGCTGGTCTCTTGACTCATCTGGAACTGAGAGCCTGTGTAGTACTCTCTTAGAAGATGGAGGGTGGTGGAGGAGGGTCCAAGGCTGTCTGACACAGGTCAGATAAAACAGCATGTTTTCCACACTCCGGTTATTCCTGTAAGAACAAAAAAAGGGAATCATAAACACTGAAGGCAATCTCAAAGGTGGAAGAGAGAAGTCTGGGGTTGGACTGGAGGGTGGAGGGTTTAGTAAAATCAGGAGGAACCGGTGATGGTGGGATGACCTTTAGAGAATGATTGTCTAACCAAACTCTTGGCTCACAGCTCTTACTGGTGAATCTGTCCCTTTTCTTGCCCTGAATCACTCCCTGGGACCAGCAGTCTTGTCTTCTCAAAATACAGGAGTCAGGGCTGTTGTTCCAATTCACCGTATCCTGGTGACACTTCTGATTCTCCATGGAAAATTCCACTTTCCTAACTAGGTCCAAATTAAATATTGACTTTAATAATTTTAAATCATTTTGCCCATAGAGAAATGTGCTTTCCTAAGGACATTTTGAGGAAATGCTTGAGCAATCACAAAGATGCCACTCCTACTACGTGAAGCTTCATGGACATGAGCAAAAGACATACGCCTGTAGCAACCTTCCCTGGGTGGATGGACAAAGTCCTGGGCCCCAGAAACACCATCCCTGACCAACACTGAGGAAAGTGCTGGGCCTTTATGGGTGTGTCAAATTGTGCCTGTTTTGTTAAAGTGATCCTCTCTCCCTCACCTGCAACATCAGATCCTTCTCTGAGTTCTGATGCTTTGTATCATCCTCCTCAGCCCTGCTTGGGAAGCACAGCATTTCTCCCCAGGACATCAATAGAGACTTCTGGTTTCTTCCTTATCTAATCCACAACCCATCCAGTTTCTATAGTGCCAGTGAGTTATTTCTACAGATGCAGTATGGTGATCCAGTTCCAGAAGGGCTCCCCACCGACCACAGGGTGGATACCAGAAGCCAGTGTCTGCCATTTGAGAAGCATTGCAATCTGGACCTAAGTCCTGATCCTCAACCCCCTCCCCAACACCATGTGCCCAAGCCACGCGAGACTCATGATTTCCTGAACTTGCAACATTTTCCTTCTATGCTTCCAAGCCTTCACACGATCACTGCTCTGACTGATGTCTTGGCTGCAATTTCATGAGGCACCCTGAGCCAGAGCCACCTGGCTAAGCTGCTTCCGGATTCCTGGCCCACAGCACTGGGATAAATGAATGTCATGATTTTTAAGCTGCTACTTGGGAGAAATTTGTTATAGGACAATGGATTCCCCTCTCTGGCCTGCTATTGTTATAGATCAGTAGAAGGACACAAGCAACCTACCACTGTGTTGCTCAGAGTAGGCAAGACTGTGAGCCCAACAGCCACGACAGAACGGCCCTCACCACACTTGACACCGTGAGCTTTGTGTCAGCATCCTTCAAACCGATGTCTACGTGTGTTCAACAAATGGGTACTTAGAGGTGTTGTTGTGCTTTCATCAAGTTTAAGAACGGACAGCGTGCAAATGAGAAGAGACAAGACCTGCAACAAACGTGAGTCATGAGGTGGAGAAAGCAGAAGCAGCTGAGGGCCTTGCTGAGTGAAATATATCCGTAGCGTCTGAGCTGGCCTTTCTGCTTCTCTCTGTCAGGAAGGGACAGCAGCGTGGAGAGGAGAATGGATATTTTGAGAAGAGGCTGGCTATTTTGCAAATCTTCACAAAAAACAGAATGTGTTCCTGTTCATGTGGTTTGTGTGGTAGCCATCGACCAAGAGGTCAGGGCCCTGTGAAGTCTGATGGGAGCCATGGCTTGGGTTTCCTGCCAGTCGCTTTGCTATTGCTCCGCGTCAGTTGTAACTGTCTGTGAATCCATTTCAGGAGGAATGATGGAAGAAGGCAGCAAAGTCCCCTGGTATATAGCCTCTTCTCTGTGACCAGCAAGCCCACAGCCTTGCATGGCAATGTGGCCCCAGGGGCACTGTGTCCCCCGTCTCCTTTTTCTGCTCCCTTTCTCCTGCCACCATGACCAGGGTCCTCCAGGTCTGAGCAGTTATTGGGGACCTGCTCAGTATGTTCTTGGTGTTCACACCTTTCCTGAACTATGAAGACTTGTGTACAGGAGGGATACTTTACACATCCTCCCTTACACCTTATTCAATGTGGTTTCTCACCTGGGAGCATTACTACTGTAAGCCTATCCTCTGTGAACAGAAAAGATTCTCGGGCACCTGGGTGGCTCAATCAGGTAAGCATCTGCCTTCGGCTCAGGTCATAATCTCAGGGTCCTGGGATCGAACCCAGCATTGGGCTCCCTGCTCAGCGGGAAGCCTGCTTGTCCCTCTCCTCCCTACTTGTGCTCTCTCTTCCTGTCTCTGTCTCTGTCTCTCTCAGATAAATGAATAAAATCTTAAAAAAAAAAAAAAAAAGAAAAGATTGTCTACAGTGTGTAAGGAAATCTGGATTTTATTCTGAAGATGATGGATGATGGCGTAACAGGGATATTGCTCTGGTATGTTAGTGGGGTGGGGACTGGAGGGGGTTGAGACTGGAATTTGGGGGGCCAATCAGCAAGTGGGATAAAGTTATCCCAAGGAGACTAATCTAAAGCATTGGCTAGAAGCAGTGGTACCTGGGAGCTGCCTACTCTTCCCTTGCAATGTGACTGAAGTTGATGTGATTCGGACATTCCTCTGTGACTGACTGGGTGATTGTGAACTGCAGGCCACAGAGCAGGTGCTGCGTGGGGAATGGGGTGGGAAAGGTGAGCAGGCCCTGGGTCTGCCCTCAGGGGCTCACAGGGCCTGGCTGTGAGCTCTTGCTGCCAATGTGGGCAAAGAAAGCTGGCTTGAATTATGCATTTCACGCAGGCTTAATAAGATAGTAGACACATGAGGTAAAAGCAGGACAATTACTTAAAACTGAGGCAAGACATTTCTTTGTATTCTGTAGGTATTAACATTTAGTGACCCAGATGGCATCTTTTAAGACCTTCTCTCTTTATATTATATTTACTTAGAATATTTATATTATATTTATATTTGTAATATACTAAGCTTAGTCGAGGCAAAAATAATAATAATAATAAAAAAAGTCGCAATAGTATTATTTTCTGCTCAACCAACCCACCTCGATGGTCTCTTCCAGAAATCATTTTTCCACACTCAGCACAGGAACAGTAAGCACTTACGCAGTATTTTTAGTATTCAGGTTAGTTTATACTTACTAGTTACTAAAAACAACAACAACAGCAAAACCCCAGGAAACTTAGGTATTTTATTCTCCAGCAATCATTCATTTTACAAAAAAAAATAAAAAAAATTTTTTTGTTTTGTTTCTTGGACAGGAACACTCGATCTCTTTTTGTGTGAGTTTTATAGGATTTCCCTTTCTCAGCTTTGTCGTGCCTGCATATATCATGTTTCTGGGGTGGGTTGGCCGCGAAGGGGGCTGAGGGAGCTGCAGGCTTGGCTGGCATGGGTGACAGTGTATCTGTGGCAAGGAGGAACTCTCTCTTGACCTAGGCTGAGGTGGAGACCTGCGTGTGCTGGCTTGGCACCCTGGGCCCGCTCCAGGCCTGGCTGGCTCCAGTGAGCTGTGTCCCTGGGGAGGCAGGAGCTGGGCTGGGCTCTCAGCCATGACTCAGCACCTCTCACAGACCCACCCCCACCAGCCACAAACCAGGCTTGGTAATGGGTTGACTGACTGACTAAATAAAAAACAAGAAAAACTTTCTCTTTCTCTGTTCCTTTCATAGGAGAGGCATGTGGAGGTGTGTGTGCTAAAAACTGTTGTTTTTATAGTGGTAGGTGTGACCATAATGATGACGGTAGATTCTCAGTACTGATAGTTCGGCAAGTGAGAGAACCAAATCACCTCGTTTATCCCAGGGGTTTTTATCAAAGCTCTGGTCTGTAGTTCCTGCCTACCCAAGGACACAGCTGCTCCTGGGTGAGCAGTAAAGGAGCCCTGGAATCTGACTTCCAACCACTTTCCCAAAGCCAGCTCCTGTTAACTTTCTATAAGAGCCTTCCTCATCCATTCCGCTTCCCTTTCCACCTCCACAGCTTGTGGCCACTTCACTCCCCAGCCTCAGAATGCTCTTTCCCTTCTCTCCTCATTGTTTGGAATCCTTCTACCACCTCATGGACTCGGAGGGTTATCACAGTGAATTAGCATGAGACTTGGCCTATAGTGTAAGACTGGGCTCTCACTGGGCCCAGCAGTTATGGTAGTTGGGGAAAAGGCCCAGTCAGCAGGCAGGAAGTCACACAGAATAATGAGCTGCTCAAATAAAAAGTGCATTCTCACTCCTCTGCACTTAGAATCATTTCTGTTGTTCTAGATTAGTCAGGTCTAAAGATGACTGACAAAACTAAAGTCATTCTTTAGATGAAATGTACTTTGTGGATTCCCGTGTTTTCTTTCTTTTTTTTTTTTTAAAGTAATTTTTATTTTTTGAAAATTGCCCAGGCTTCAGAAATATTTTTCTTCATTGCGTTTCTGTTAGGTTTGAATTGGTTTATGTCTTCACTCACTGTAAATCCCCTGATTCTTTCAGGTTCTGAGGACATGAGAGCCAGACTCTAATCACCTTACCCAGAGCACAGTCTAAATGTGGGTTCTTGGAATTTTGTCTTTTTGGAGCTTAAAGCTGAAGACCTCCAATGAAAGGAAGCATATAGTAATTTTAAATACTGTCTCTCAATGTGTTTTTATAAATTTAGATCCCTTATGTAAGTTGTAAATTCTTTTGATAGGTAGCTACACATATTCTTAACATTCAGGTCATGATCCTAAATGTCACAGAGGCTTGTTGAGGCAGCTTTTCTTCATTTTATGGGCGGGTGGCAGAGTATTTGGAGGTAAGAAACGTGGTGAATTCGAAGAAGTTGCAGGTGATGAAACTTTTCTTAAATTTGAGTAGGGACTGAGTGAGCCAGGTCTAACAAAGCCAGACTTGTTCTACAAAAAAAAAAAAAAAGTCTGTAGAAATGACAGAGAAACCATCAGGTAAATTCTGGAAAGATAGGGGAAGATGCCCCCGGTACTAATATTTCTTTTCTTTTTCTTCTTTTTTTTCTTTCCTTGGTTAAGTGAAGGGAGGGGAAGCGAAGACCACAATGACTTGCTTCCTGTAGAAACACGGCTCATCCATCCACCTGACATCATGAGAGGAAATCTCCCTGCCTATTTTTGGGGTGGTAATTCAACCCCGAGTGTAAGAACTGAAACCCTCATCCACTTTCTGAGGTCACCAAGGACTATTGTGCAGATCACTAGCTCTCTGGCTGTTTTCAAGTAGTTGTTTGTCTTTCTAACAACAACCCCCATAAATCAGTCGTAGCACTGGGGTGTCCTCGGGCATCAGAGCTAAGTGTGAGCTTTCCCATCATTGAGAATTAATCAAAATCACCCAGAAGGATCAGATGGTAAGGTGATGCAATCACAGTCGAAGCGGGGGCAAACAGAAAATCTGAGGCTGGGTGAGGTTCCTGGTTCCCCTTTGTGAAGGTCCTCTCTCCACAGAAGCTGGGGGTTTGTTTTCACTTCCTATTTTTCTAGTAGGTCGTCATTCTGTGCATGTGAGTGTTGACCTTCCCCAGTGTCATCACCAAACCACCTCTGCATCAGGACACCGGGGACAACTTCGGCTTTAGAAGAAGGATGCCGACTGTGATTTGTTTGTCTGTTAGGTTAAGAGTCATCTTACTTTCATGAGATGGTGACAGTGGATGGAAAGTGAAAAACTTATTTCAAAACTGGAGCTGTGTTTTCTTACAGGTGAGAGAGGGTATGTTCAGGATGTTTGAAAGGGATTTATTTTCCTCAAGTGAATGAATTGTTATTTTTGGCTGATTCTTTTGGGGTCATGGAGATAAACTCAAGTTGCCCCTTCTTTATCTGAATAGAGCTACCAGTGTGTCCATATGAGAGATGAGCCATGGTCACCAATCTGTTCTCACTTTACGTTCATTTATTTTGTGGTATTCCTTTCCTATTTCTGTCAGTGAAAAAAATGTTTCGGTGGAGAAATGTATAAGAAAGTGTTGTTAGGACTAATTTTCTTTTATTTCTGGTTCTACATCACGGAGAGATACGGTGTTTTTAGTCTATGTTAAACTTTTTCTCTGAGGTTTTTGTACTCAGGCATTTACTCGTTTGGAAAATGTTAGTGTACAGTACAGGGATTTGGAATCAAATCTGTTTCTCTCGTTATTCACAGGGCAGGTTGGTGAGCCTTTCTGATGCTCAGTTTCCTTCATCGATGAAGTGGGAAGAAGAATATCGCTGGGGCAAGATCGTTACAGGTTTAAAGACAGTGTGCGTATAGCCCTTGGCCCAGTACCTGATGGATTGTGGGCATTCGGTGAGAGGAGCTGTTAGATTAATGCTCTGATGCTCATAGTCAGAGCACTGGGCACACTAGACTCCAAACCCTTGCCTTTGTTACCGCAGTAGTAATGCTACTGGCGGCAGGCATACCTTTTCCTTTGCCCTCCACCATCACTCATTTGCCTATTTTTATCCAGGAACAAAAGGGAGACACTGAGCTCTCCCTGCTTTTAAAGTGTAAACTGAGAGTCCTGTGATTTTTAACATAGTTGAGGTGTTTTGTAAATGGAATACTTAAAATAAAGATTCCTGATGATTTGGATCATGGAAATTCAATAATTCATGGCTGCCTACAAGACAGTGTGCTGTAATATCCTTATTCAAATAGATTTAAAAGCTACTCCCTCTCTGACAGAGGTGAATCATTTGCGACGGCAATTATTATTGCTTCCAAAGAAATGACTGCATTGTTGCTGAAAATAATCAGGCTACATTTCTCAGTAAGTTGGTAAACAATGAAGGTCACCAGAAAATGTTAACAATGATGAGCTTTCAACACCCACATCATTTTAGTGTCTGACATTTTCTTTCTGGGGACTCCACTGGCAATCTTTGTATTGGTGACATTTAACTTCTGTACCTCGTAGAGTAAGCTTTCCCAACTAGGTCTTTCATATCAAGCCCAGTACATATTGATCACATAAAAGAAATCAGAACACCAGTTCCCTTGTTCTCATTTTGATGGCATAATAGTAAAAATGGCTGAGATCGTGGGTTATAGGCAAGGGTGAGCAATTAAATTAGTGCACTCTTGAGAACTGGGTCTTCTCTCTGATTGGGTCTTCTCAGATAGGAGACATTTGTTCAGAATAGGAGACATTTGGCCTCCATCTAATCCTGGGAAATGGACGAGGATTTGAGTGGGAATA